CTCCCATCCTTTCTTTTCCCCTCTCTTCTTCTTCCCTCCCCTCCCCTGCTTTGAGGGGAATCTGGCTATGTAGCTCAGGCTGGTCTGGAGCTCATGGCCATCCTCCTGTCTCAGTCTCCCCAGCGCTGTGGTTACAGGCACACCTTATCAATACATGCCTGCCTCTTTTTAAAGAGAGTCTTACTATGTCTCCCCTGGCTGGCCTGGAGCTTTCTATATGGGCCAGGTTGGCCTCAACCTCATAAAGATCCACCTGCTTCTGCCTCTACTTTCCTAGGGTTGGAACTGCATTCCATCCTTTCGGGGAGGGGAGGAGGGTCTCATAACCTAGGCTGGACTTGAACTCCTATGTAGTAGAGATGACTTTGAATTTCTAATCTTCCCACTGATACTTCCCAACAGTGCCTAGATTGCAGGTGTTTGCCACATGTCCTGTTTATGTGATGTTGGGGTGGAACCCTAAAATTTAGTGCATGGTAGGTAAACACTCTACCAACTGAACTACAGCCCCAGACCCTGGTGTCCATGCTTTCAGAGGCATGTATACATCAGGAAATGCATGTGGCCGGGAAGAGACAGGGTAGCGAGGCAATGATGTCATCCATCCAGAAGGGATAAGAATGTTAAGAGGCATCTGTGAAGCGCTGGCAGTCACTTCTGACTTTGCTTTGGTCCTCATGTTTGCAAAGTAGCAACATGCTTTTAAGGTCCTGATGGTTTCAAGCATAAATGAAGGAATCAGAAACAGTGAAAAGCCTAGGTTTGGGATAGAGCTCTAACTGGTACCCTACTTAGCATACAGCCTCACCGATGACCTGCACTGAGTCACACAACCACACCTTCGTGAGGCGTTCTTGCTCACTATAGGATCGGAACATACACAGCACTGACGTGGCAGGATTTCTGAGAGGCTCAAATGAGACTCCATGAAAGAGTGGGAGGCCCCACCAGGACCCTCAGCTTACCTCCCCATGATGGGACCCTTCTGTTTTGCAGACTTCCTTCCTTCCAAATGGGCTCTTCCTTTTGCCGAGTTCTCCTATTGGTTGGCGTCACCGCGCCAATCGTCTGCATGTCTGCATCCAATTCCAGTCTCAGCAACAGAGAGTCCCCCCGCCCTCCCTCCGTGAAGAGCAACCCAGCCTCTAAGGTGTCTCCCAGCAACACCGTGTTTGCCTTCTCCCTGTACCAGAGGCTGGTTCAGGAAAACCCAGGTCAGAACATTCTCTTTTCTCCCGTGAGCATCTCGACCTCCCTGGCCATGCTGTCCCTGGGGGCCCGCTCAGCCACCAAGACACAGATCCTCCGGAGCCTGGGCTTCGACCTCTTGAGCGCACCGGAACCCACCATCCATCTGGGCTTCGAGCATCTGGTCCACTCCTTGAATGTATGCCACAAAGACCGGGAGTTGAGGATGGGCAGTGTCCTCTTCATCAGGGAAGAGCTGCAGGTGCAGGCCAATTTCCTGGACAGGGTCAAGAAGCTTTATGGGACAAAAGTCTTTTCCGAAGACTTCTCAGACACCTACACCGCCCAGGCACGAATCAACCGCTATGTGGAGAAGGAGACCAAAGGGAAGGTGGTGGATGTAATCCAAGACCTTGATTCTCAGACTGCCATGGTCCTGGTGAACCATATCTTCTTTAAAGGTGAAGTCGAGTTTCTCTTTTCTTCATTTCTCCTTTCTTTTTTTTTTCCTTCCCTTTCCTTTTCATTTACTTTGAGTGTTTTATTTGTTTGTTTGTTTATTTTTTGAGTCGGGTTCTTATGTATTTCAAGGTGGCCTCCATCATGCTGCTGTAGCTAAGGATGACCTTGGACGTCTGATTCTTCCTGCCTCCACCTCCTTAGTGCTGGGATTATAGGTGTGTTCACTACACCCCTCTTATGCAGTTGGGACTGAACCCACAAATCTATTGCTGAGAGAGACACAACCCTAGCCCACCCCTGATTTACATTTCTTTTCTTCTTGGTGTTGTGTAGTCAAGGAGACAAGTATGTAAAACAAGTCCTAGACAGCAGGGTGTGCCTGAGCCCTCATGAGCTTTGCAAGTGGTTACCTGTGCATCCTTGGCAGACTTCTGTTTGCTCTCCCACTGCCACTCATTCATTAACCTGGGGCCTCATTCAGTTCTGCCTTAGCATGAACCAAGAGGCTGTGCTAAAGACTTGGCTGACACTGTGTTCAGCAAAGAGGACCCCGAAATGTGCTTTATTTGGGAGAAGAAGAGCTTGCATTTTGCCACCAGCCCCTGTCTTCTTGGTACTCCCTGTCAACTTCAGAGCAGTGGCATAAGGGTCCCTGACAGGCCAGTTTGAAAAGCCATCCCAAGGGCGAAAACAGCGTCAAAGGTTTGGAAGTGTGGTCAAGCCGGTCCATCACTCACAAGAGCTTTGCTGTTTATGAAGACGCCGTCATAAACGGCACTGTTCCCAAGCAGTCTGAGCATCCGTTTTGAAATCACACGACCCTGGGCTTCAGTTCTATCCCTGCCTCTCTCTTGCCCCAGGGTGCTAAGTGTGTTGCTGTAAAAGGTCTGCCAGGGACTAAGTGCCCCCTCTGTTTCTGTCTGTGCTGCTCGAGTGGGCATCCACTGAGCATACACGGCCTCACAGGACCACGCCTGACATTGACTGTCTGGACGTCAGAGCTATGCGGGCCGCTGTGTCCTGGCTTCTCCCACTTCCCACCTTTCCCTTGTGCCTCCTTCCCTCCCTCCATCCTCTGTTTACCCAACCCAGTTCACCCACCCAGCTTTTCTTCCATGCATCCATTTTTCTTTTAACCCATCCAGTCTGCCCATTAATCTAGCTATCCATCCACACATTCACCAAACACAGAAGACAGGGAAAGAAAACTGAGCTGTTTTCCTTCATTGGCGAGTTATCTTCATCTTCTGTATATTATCCAGCTTGGTTTATTTCTAATGAAGGATCATGCACACAGCATAAGTGTCCACGTCAGTGTCTTTGGTTCCTGGCATCTTCACCAAGGCTGTGCCGGGTTGGAAGTAGGTGACTGTCACTCACACCGGTCTGTTCGCTGATATTTCTCAAGACAGTGTATTAAGGAGCACTGTCCTGACGTCAAGTGAGCATCAGCTCTGAAGACAGATAGCAGTCACTCTCTGTAATTCCACAGCACGTTCTCCTCCCCAGAAGGAAGACCCATTCCCCCAAGAAAAGGGGCTGTCCCCCAACTTCTGCTCTAACCCCCCAGAGACCAGTACCCTACACTATGTTTCTGCAATAGGCCTATTTCAGACATTTCGAATCAAGTAAATGAGACAACAGTATTCCAGGCCACATCAGACCCAGAGTTTTGTGTTCATGTTTAAAGGCATCATTTCCTTACTGGGGTCTGCTGTTTGTGATGTGGAGCCAGGTCACTGCCTCAGTCCAGACCGAGGGGTTCTGGAGCACCCGGTAAAGCTCCTTTGTTCCGTTTCATCCAACTACTGTTTGATCCTCGTATCTTCTGATAGGAAACCGTTTGTTGATCTTATTGAGGCCACCTGAAATGGAACCAGTCACTTGTGAATCTCCTTTGCCTTTTGACTGATTTCGCTAAGTCTGGGAGTGGAAATTCTTGACTGTTAAACCAAAGTTTGGGAGCTTCTGGGTGTTACTTCTTCCCAGAGCCCCATCTCCTTTCTTTCTCTCTCCTCCTTTTGGGAGTCCCATGATTGTGTGTGTGTGTGTTGCTATGCTTGGCCGTGTGTTCCAGGTGCCTGATGTGTTGTTTCCCTCCATCTTTTTTTCTCAGTGTTCCTCAGATTACACACTTTACTAACACGTTTTCCAGCTCACTGGTTATTGTCTTCCGTTAGCTCTGATTAGCTGTGGAGTCTCTCTAGTGAATCTTTCATTACTGTTAGCATATTTTCTAACTCTAGACTCTATGCAATGGCTTCAAATCATTTCTTTTACTGTGGGCAGATGCTTACTTAAAACGGTTTCTTTTAGTTCTTTGAGCATGTTCAAAATAGCTGCCTTGACATGTTTGATTAATAGGGGCCGTATCTAGGCCAACTTCCCCCAACCCCTAATGTTTGGGGCATACTTTCTTGTTCCTTTTCATATCCCCTTTTTTTGTTTTCTTACACGTATTTTGTTATTTATTTTTAATTATGTGTATTCACTTATGTGTCTTGTGATATTTGTACACAAGTGCAGTGGCCTGCAGAGTCCAGAAGAGGGCTCCAGTCCCCTGGAACTGGAGCTATAGGAGGCTGTAGGCTGGGAGTTGAAGTGGGTCCTCCTGAAGAGCAGTGAGTGCTCTTAACCTCAGAGCCACTTCCCTAGCCCCTTTGTATGTTTTCAGCACAACATTGTACATAATGCAAATCAATTCTAGACATAAAATCTGGAGGGTTCATTCTTGTCGCTGTTCATTGTGGCAGTTGTTTCCTGTTTCTTTCAAACGAATTCTTTAACATCACAGATGCCTTCTTGTCCGGAAGATCCCCCAATCTTTGCAGCGGGCCACTGCATGCGTATTGCACCTTGCCATCCACACTCAACTAGGCAGTCTATCATTATGGCTCACCCTTCATTTTCTGTTTGTGAACCCCAAGACCAGCTGGCAGTGAGAGTTCTGAAATGCCTAGAGGTAGTCTCCAAGCTGCCAATAGCTCTACTCACCTGGGTCCTCTGCATGCTTGAGAGATGCTGGAAGTTTCCAAATCTCCTGGAAACATTTGATTCTTTAGACGTTTATTTGTTTATTTCTCTGTTGTCTTATCTCTTATCCACCCTCTAGGTAGCCAGGAAGTGAGGACACTTGCGTGTAATTGCATTTGAAACACACTCCCACACCTATAGGCAGAGTAAACCTCAGTCAGTTGTGTGACCCCGTGCAGGCCACACCACGATAGTTCTTCGAGAGTTCTTCGGTAATGACACATTGAACCCCCACCCCCGCCTGACTCTGTTCCTGTTTCTCTGGTTGCACTAATCCAGTCTGCAATCCTTCTAGACTACTGCTGAGCTGTAGGGTGGCTAAAGGGTGGGCCCCATGACAGGAAAAGTGTCACAAAGCTGGCCTTTCACATCAAGATTCTGCATTTGTCTTGGATGAACTCTCCTCAGGGCACCATAGGGCTGTGGTTGCCAGAGTTCTAAAAGACCAGGACAGTGTTTAGGGAAGGGTAGATATGTAGAGGTACTCACTTTGTCATTTTGGTTGGTACGGGCTTCCTCCTCTCTTCTCGGTTCGTCCTCTGAAGCTTTGTGGTTAGTGTCTCAACTGTTATGTGCTGCCCGAGGTGTTTCAGGATTCTGCCTGCCACTGTCTTGGCAATTGTCGCTGGGGAAATGATATTTGCCTTGGCTGAACTCCAAGTCAGATCAAATACAGACAGATTTTATAAGTCATTCTTTTGGTGCTGTAGGAGGCAGGTTAGATAAAGGCAATTTTTTGAGAATGAGTCTATGGCTGTTGTTGTTTTGAAATATGTTCTCTTTCTGTAACCTAAGATAGCTTCAAACTCACAATCTTCCAGCCTTGGCCTCCCAAGTTCTGGATTACAGCTGTGAGCCACTATGCCTGAATGGGAATGAGGCTGTAAAATGTTTCAGCCCCGTCCTGATTTCACTGCAAATGCTGGTTGTTATTTTCCACAGTCATCCAGAGCAGAGAGTGGAGTCTAGAACCAGAGCACGCTAGAATATTTCAAGCTTCACCAATATCCAGAACAGAGAGTGGAGTCTAGAACCAGAGCACGCTAGAATACCACAAACTTCACAACTTCTAGCAAGACACAGTTTTTTTTCTTTCATGTTTTGTTTCTCAACTATAATGATTTATATATTGTCCAGAGTTAAAAGTGAATTGATTCTGACCATTGTTGGCAGTGTGTGTGTGTGTGTGTGTGTGTGTGTGTACTATCCGATAAGAGGGGCGGAGGGGCGTCTCTGTATGTGTGCAAGTGTGTGTATGGTGTGAATATCTTGTATGATGCATGTGTGTGATGTGATGTGATCTTTGTGTGTGTGGAAGTGTATATGGTGTGTGGTATGTATTATTGCGTATGGTGTGCATATGTGAAAGTGCATGTGAGGGTGGAAGAGTGTGGTATGTGCAGGGTATTTGTGTGTATGAAAGCTTGGGTGTGGTATATGTGGGGTATTTGTGTGTGTGTATGAAAACGTGGGTGTGGTATGTGTGGGGTATTTGTGTGTGTGTGTGTGTGTGTGTATGCAAGCATGGGTGTGGTATGTGTGATATATTTGTGGTATGTGAGGTATGTGGGGCATATTTGTGGTGTGTGTATGTGGCATGTGGTAAGTGTGTGTGGTGTATGATATGTGGTATGTATGTATGGTATGTAGAAGTTTGTGGTATATAGTGTATGTCATATATACGTGGGGGTATATGTGTGTGCATTTGTTTGTGCCTCTGTGTGTGGAGTATATGATATGTGGTGTGTATGTATTATGTTTATGTATGTGTGTGGTATGTGGGTGTGTTGTAAGGTAGGTGTGGTGTGTGTGTGTGTGTGTGTGTGTGTATTTGTGTGTATGTGTATTGGGGATTAAAATTAGGCCTGGAAATCTAGTCATAGTTGTTCTTTTTTAATGGAGAAATGAGTTTTTAGGGGTCCTCATCCTCCCCACCCCCGTCTTCACCTGGCAGACAGCAGGGATATAAACCCCTCTCTTCTTTTGCACTGACAGAACCCTTCCCTCTCTTCTCCCCTTCTTTCTCCATGCTAGCCAACTGGACACAACCCTTCAGTGCTGCCAATACCATCAAGAGCTTCCCATTCCTTCTGAGCCAGGGCACCACTGTGCACGTCCCCATGATGCACCAGACGGAGTTGTTTGCTTTTGGAGTAGACAGAGAACTGGACTGCTCTGTGCTGCAGATGGACTACAGGGGAGATGCCGTGGCCTTCTTTGTCCTCCCTGGCAAGGGCAAGATGTGGCAGCTGGAGAAGAGTCTGTCGGCCAGGAGGCTGAGGAAGTGGAACCGCTCCCTCCAGAAAAGGTGCGCGCTGCCGTCGGTTTGTGTTCCGCCAAGGATGGGTGGGTGCAGGACAGGGAATGTGGTAGCTGCCCTTCAGGAATGAGTCCTGTGTGCCGAGCCTCCGCTGCCTGCCGGATGGGGAATCTGATGCTGTGTCCACACGACACCACATGAACTCCACCGCCACCTGGTACACAGCTTCATCATCCTCCGCTTCCCTTCTCCTCCCCCCTTTCCCAGGGGGAAACTGGTTTCTAGGGAGTGAGTGTATCAGTCACATTTCTGTTAGGTGACAAAACACCGTGATCCAGGAAGAAGTCATTCACTTCGATTTACAGTTCCAGGGGGCTAAGAACGCATCAGGGCAGGGAGGCAGGAATGGCGACAGGAACAGGAAGCTGGGAGATGTATCAAAAGCAAGCGTGAATTAGAGAGTGAATTGAGAGAAGGGTAAAACTTTAATTTTTTTAATTTGGATTTATTTATTTTTATGTGTATGGGTATTTTTCCTGAATGTGTGTCAGAATACTATCGGATTCCCTGATACTAGAGTTACAGAAACTTATAAGCTGCCATGTGGGTGCTGGGAATGAAACCCAGGTCCTGGGGGTGGGGCAGCCAGTGCTATTAACCCCTGTGTCATCTCTCTAGTCCAATATTTTCAATGTTTTATAATATATGTCCTCTTCTAATTTTTTTCTTTTTTTATTAATTTTATTGAGCTATACAATTGTTTTTGCTCCCTTCCCTTTCTTTTCCCTCCCCTTCAACCCTCTCCCATGGATGGTCCCCATGCTCCCAATTTACTCAGATCTTGTCTTTTTCTACTTCCCACGTAGATTAGATCCATGTATGTCTCTCTTAGGATCCTCACTGTTGTCTAGGTTCTCTGGGGAAACTTTAAACTCTTGAAGCCTACCCCAGTGATGTCCTTCCTCCAACAAGGACTTCCCCATAACCTCTCCATACAGCACTGCCAACAGGGGACCAAGTGTTCTGGTGCCTGAGCCCCTGGGGGACATTTCTCATTCAAATCAGCACAGTAGCTATTCTGTCACCATGGTATTATATCCAATAGAGGTCTCCCCAGAAGCCAAGGCGATGTTGAGTTTTATGAAATTATGTTTGTAAGAGCAGGAAAGCAAACCAATCAAGGTCCTGGCGCTCACTTGTAAAGTGAGGGCCACAGTGTCACTGAGTCACTGGACTAGAGGTTGCAGAAGCCACATTGCTACTTAGAAAGTAGCAGAGAGCATGGGGCAGTTGTAAGTGCCTAATGAACATCAGCTAACAGCAATGTTGTTAGCTCTGCACAGACTGTAGAGAACGAGAATATTAATTATGTGATACAAAAGATTACTGAGTATTTGTTTCAGTCTCCTTACGTCTTCATCATCCTCAGGTGTTTGTCATTAAGAGGAAAGAAAAGCTAAGACTGAGAATAAGAGTCATTTACGTAAGACAGGGACCAATGTCCCAGGAAGGCAGGCAAAGTGCGGAGGAGCTCATGAGCAGAGGGAGCTTGCTTTCAGAAGGGGAATGCTTCAAGGGGGCAGTGATGATCCAGCCACAAACATGGGTCTACAGTGATGGCCAGGGTCTGGGCTAGATGTTTCCAGGTTCCCAGCCTCTTATTCAAATGGAATACCACAGAGATTTCAAAAGAACAAGGAAACTTTCTTCAAAGCAGAGCGATAATACAGAATAGTGACTGTCAAGGTTGGTAGTGGACCACACAAATGGGGCTACTCAAGCTACTCAAAGGCTCAATTGTTTGAAGCATCCTTTTATGAGGCTCAAGAGGAGGAAGAATTTGATGTCTAAGGGCATAGCAGGGGTGCTTCCCTGTTTTGATTAATAGATTAGGTCAAACAAATCATTTGTTTGTTGCTCATATCTCTTCTTTACAATGATTCTCATTTTAATCATATGCATACCTAATTGTGCACAGACATAAGTTGCTAAATACGGAGCTCACCTTAAAAGTTCACAGATTTTTGTTTTATTTATATGCATCCAAAACCAGTCTAGGCTAAACGGGCCCATTGACCATAGTTCCTGATTGTGCTCTGGGACATATTATCAAGGAGTTCTTAAGGGAAGTAAATTATTCCATTGATTAAAGCAGGTGTATGTGCAGCTCCCTGCCGGTCAGGGATAGTAGGTGGCCAATAGGTTGCTAGGTACATTGTTTGGAGAGGATTGTGTGCATAGCCCAGGTCAGTGGAGTCCCACGTCACTAAGCTGTTCTCTATGCTTGCCTCAGATGGGCCATGGGCACACAGAGACCAAGGGTGGGCATTTCTGATGGCGGTAACATGACTGACAAAGATGGAAGGGGAAGAATCAAGAGATGCTTTCAGAGTTTCCTCTCTTCTCTCGCTGCACCAGGGCTAGGTGAAGGAAGAAGACATGGTATGGGGGAGGCTGAAGGAAGATAGAACAGACCCAGAGAGTACAGACATCATCTGTGGTACTAGGGTCAAGGAGGCTTGACAGATGAAGACTGGGATATCTCTCCAATGTCTTGTGCTTTTATATCTGTGAGAAACTAAGCATATAAACATCAATAAGCACTACAGTTGAGCTTAACCATCTCTAAAAATGAGAAAAATGTTGTTGAGCGTATTCAGGGTAATGGCTCATGGTAAATGCTCAATAAATGGATGGTGCTTGCTCTGGGAAAAGGAAACTATTGCAGAAGAAGATAACATGCCAACATCTAGGTTTGTTCTATCCAATATGGTAGCCACTGGCCACATGTGGTCATTTATACTTGAGTTAAGTAAAATAAGATAAAATTAATGGGTAGTGAGATAGTTTGGTGGGTACCAGTTCTTGCTTCAGAGCCAGACAACCTGAGTTTGATTCCCCAATATCCCCAAGTTAGAAGGGGAGAACAAACTCCCGAAAGTTGTCCTCTGACCTGCACAACCACACACACGCACACACACTCACAAGCACTATTTATTGCACACGGAACACCAAGCCCTATCAAATCAGTCCGTGTAAACAAATAAATTAATAAAAGGAAAGGTTCAGCTCCTTGTCTGCTGTAGGCATGTGCCAGATTCTTCAGGAGTCATGTGTGGCCAGTGGCGATCATATTGGATAAGATGGGTGTAGGTATATTCCCAGCAATGGTAATACATTCTGGGGGGTGGTTATTGCTATGGGAGATTAGCGGGCTGCTTGTCTCAGGAAGTCCTGCTGGGCACAGCCAGGTTCTATGGCTGGCAGGTGAGCTACCATCCCTTCCTAATGTCACTCTGATCTCTGCTGTGGTACCCATGCTGAGTCATTATCTCATCTCTGGTTCTTACTAGGGTGCTTTATTCTGATTCCCAGGGATGGGCTTGCTCAGCTGGGAGGCTCATAGACGGAGCATCCTGGTGGTTTGGGGCTGGCACGTGGGGATGGCTTTAGCAGTCAGTAACGTGCTGGAGAAAGCAGAGTCTCCGAAAGCTACATGGAAACCGAGATGGAGACATTATGACCACAGCTGTTCCCTTTCTGTTCTCCATAGGTGGATCAAGGTGTTCATTCCCAAATTTTCCATTTCTGCTTCCTACAACCTGGAAACTATCCTCCCCAAAATGGGGATCCGTGACGCCTTTGACGCAAATGCTGACTTTTCTGGAATCTCAAAGTCACGCTTCCTGCAGCTTTCTAAAGTGAGTTACTAGAGAGGTTTGTAAGAAAGTCCGTGCTGGAAGACAGCTCACAAAGGACTCTGGCCTTACTGAGAAGGTGGCAGACTATAGAGAAGCCAAAGCACCTAATGGCCAAAGGAAAGGCTGGGTGTCATGGCTGCCAGGCCTGGGTCCTCATGACCACCCTAATCTAACTCACAGTATCCATAATCCCTCTTCAAGCAAATAGCCCATGCTTCTTTGCAAAGGAGATCTGTCACCAGCGAGCAACACAGTTGCCACACACCTGCCCTGGAAGAGCAGTGGGCATTGGGCTTCCCTTCCTTCCCCACACAGTTGAACTCCCAAGCAGGTGTAAAGACAGTCACTGCCAGGTGCCTTTTGTACCTGAGGATGGGGTGTTTATCCTGAAGTGGGGGAGGAGTCTGGGTGAAAAATTCCAGATTTGGAGTTCTCTTGTGAGGGACTGTTGAATTCCCTTCCCACATGATACAGTAATTGCTGCGTCTGATGACCCTTAGCCTGGCTGGTGACCCAGGCATTCCCATCCCCCATAGAGGGTCTCCTTGTTCACTGTCTAGCCTCTGTCCACATTCAAGTTCAGATCCATCAGGGTTTTGGTTCTTGACTTGATGTGTTAATTTGATAATGGGCTGTAATGGTCAGATGTGGTTCTGGGGACATTCTTGTCACTGGTCCCCAGGGAAGAAAGGCTGAAAGGTCCCCATGCGATATGATGAACCCAGTAGAGCTTTACCCAAGGGGAAACACTCATAAGTACCTGGGGAAATGGATGCCTGTCCTCGCAGGTGGTTCCCAGCCCATCCCGCAGCTTGGCCATTGGTCGCAGGCTGAACCCCCAGCCCTAGAAGAGAAAGTGGCAGCAGTTTTTGGTGACCCCAGGCTCATGTCACAGCTTTTGTGGGAGTCACTGACATCTGCCCCCCCTTTCCCAGGCTGCTCACAAGGCTGTACTGGACGTCAGTGAGGAGGGGACAGAAGCAGCGGCGGCCACCACCACCAAGCTTATAGTCCGCTCAAAGGACAGTCCTTCCTCTGTCATCTCCTTCAACCAGCCCTTCCTGATACTGCTCTCGGACAGAAGCACAGAATCCATTCTCTTCCTAGGGAAAGTTGAGAATCCCACGAAGATGTAGGTGGGAAGTGAACTCTTGGCTGGTCCCACACTGGTGACGCAAGAAATAAGGCATGTATCGGATGGTGCTTGCAGAATGATGTCAAGACTTGCTTCCTTGCCTGAGGCCCACTTGACCCTAACAGGGGTACATCTGCCTCAGGGCTGGCACATCGAGCCTGGTCACCCCAACAGTGGTCCCTCTTACCTGTTCCCGTAGCCTTTTCCAATAGGGTGGCAGAGCAGGCAGGGTTCCATCCCTCAGCGCTCTTGGGAATGGTGCCACACAGAGCTCGGTGCCCTTTTACTTTTATTGCTGGCTTCCAGCACTGTATTCAATAAACCTGAGATGTGAACACAGTGACCACTGACCCCACCGCACCCCATCACCAGGGTCCTGTCTGGAAATGAGACACTGCTCACCTCTGGTCGTCAGTCATGATTCATTTGTTCAACCCATTGAGCACTTCAAGGACAAGGTTCCTGACATGCTGGGTCTAGATGGGAGAGAGACCATCCAAGAGGGATGAAATGACACTGTGGATAAAGACGTGACAAATTCGGGTAGGTGTCATGGAGGCTGCGTAGGACAGTCAGGACACTCACAGGAGAGGCAAGAAGGGGTTATGTGGTTCTGCAGTGAGCCAGCATCAGAGGGACAGAGGGGGACCCTGTGGCTGGAGCATCGGCTGCCAGAGATGGAAAGGTAGATACTGGCACTCGGGTAAATGGAGAGGGGATTGCATAGGAGTGCACACTTCTCAGGAAGACCTCCTAAGCCAGGGAAGGGATGGGAGCAGCAAGCCCCCAGGGTTTCTGCGGCAGGAACATAGCAAGTGCCAATGCAGTATGGGTTGTAAAGACCCCTTCAAATGCAGCCACCTTTCTGGCACTGTGACACAGTCGTCGAGTACACAGCCTCTCCCTGGCTGTGGCTGTTTGTAGTGACAACAGTCTGGCGTAACCTGAAAGCCACACTGAGTGCCCTGAGACCTGGAGACCCCAAGGCAGAGGCGGCTCATCCCCTTTGCCTCATTCCCCACTGTCCTTTCTGCACCCACTGCCAAGTGCTCCATGTGGGCTCCTGGCCACTTCATTTCTCCACACTGGTGTGTCCTGTACACCTCCGGCAAAGCTAGAGTTCATTTTCTGGAGGTACTGGTGCCCCGCGACCCCATGTGTGTCACCCAGGGACCCCAAGCTGGTTTTCCCATTTTCTGCTATATAGAAAAAAACAAAACAAAACCAACCACCTTATCCTGGGGACAGCCACAGGCTTTCAAAAGTAAGTTGGGTGGGGTGCCCTCTGCTGGTCAGGAAGCAAAACGCAGGTAGGAAGACGAAGGTTGCATCTGTTGTGGATAGGAATTACTCATCCCCATGAACTGGCCCAAGACCTCAAATTCATCAGCTACAGAATACCAAAAATGACTATGATTGGCATGAGTGTCTCACTCAAGACGACCAACAGTATTCTAAAGGCAGATGTAGCTAATGGAGCCCAGGGTGAGTAGAGCATCAAAACAAACAGACAACTATAGATTCCTGGTCCTGAAGCCAGAGCTCCAGGTGTTGCCTGTTCATCCAATTCCAGAAGCACCTGTACGATGTTTCAGGCTGCGGTGGTCAAACTGATTGTCAGTTAGACAAAGAGAAGCTTCTGCGTGTCTTCGAGGGGTTATGTAGATGAGGTCCATTGAGGTAGAAAGGCTTAAGGTGGAAGGGTGCCATGCTTTGGGCTGGGGTGTCTGACTAACTGTGAAGGAGAAACCCACTCACTCACTGCTCTCTTCTTCCCTGCTCTGGATGCGATGTGACCACCTGCCTCTAGCTCGGCCACTCTGAACTCTACCTCGAGCCGTGAGGCAGAACGAACCTTCCCTTTCTTTATCTGGTTTTGCCAGGCTGATTTTTGGTCACAACAATAAGACAAGTAGCCATCACGGTAATCAAGCTCTGCGTCTCACACACCCAGCGTTTCCTCAACAGAACGTCTTTCTTTCTCCACGTAACCATTGACTCTTACTGTATATTCTTCTTGGCCAGGGCTTGCAGAATATGTGCTCTCCGGTGCTAATCAGAGTCGATGGCTGAGCTGGCTGCATGGTAGCTACCTTAGCACCTTAGAATGTAAATAAAAACAATGGCCACGCATTCCTGTCTGTGCAGGAATATTTTAAAGAGCATTGTAGAGCATGTGGGCACCCTGCCCAGAGCACCAGGCATTCGGAATTTCTAAGTGGATGTCCGTTCTTCGCTACCAACTCAGTGAATCAGTCTGCAGGCATCTAACTAAGCTGAGTACCTACCATGGGCAGAAGCAGCCCCGAGGCTGGGGTGTCTGAAGAATCCCTCCCACATTACAAAGCTTGCAGTGAGGCAGGAGGAGAGGAAGGCACTGGGAAGGTCATCAAGTGCAGGGACATGGCTTCAGCTGTGTCTCTGGCCTGCAGGACACGGGTAAGAGCTGCGTCTGCGGCCTGACACGGGGACCTCACATGCAATGCAGATACCCAGCATACAGGCAAAAGGCAGAAGGGACCGAGCTCAGGATGGAGGACTTACAGAGGGGGTTTCAGTTCAGGTTTTCTCGGGCAGAATGGAAAGGCAGTCCTGCCCACCCTTGACTGTACACGCTTTAGGACTCTGTTTAATCTCCATGTGCTTCGCCCCCCAACCGTGGGGCGAAGAGTCCGTGGCACCCATGCCATTAGGTTGTCAAATGAGCAAACACACTGAATTCTGAGGAAGACTCACCCCAGATAATTGGTGCAGTATACCCTGCCTGTGTATACAGCTGCCCTTATTGCAGCTAACACTCGAAAGGCGGGAAGCAAGGATGTTTCTGATAAGCTTAGTCCCCACCTGGCAGCTGTGGAGAAAGGCGGGCATTTATGCAGAATGCCATCCTGACTTCTGCCCACCACCCACATCCCCACTTCCCTGTCCTCAGAGGCATCTATGACACCTCATACTTGGCATCCTCCGTCCTACCTGGAGCTCAGAACTGGCTGCAGAAGAGGGTGCCCTTCTGCTCCGTGGTGTGTGATTGCTCTCCGGTGATAATACACCCCCACTCTGCAGCCCAAAGGAGCCCTCATATAATGAGTTTGGGGGACAATGATAACGTCACCTGCTTTGTGATGGCTGTGAAGATTGGTATGATAACATGGTTCAGGTGTGTGGCCCGGGGCCCAGGGTGTGGTACAGGCTCTGATCAGCACAGGGGTGGATGCCACTGTCGCTGTCCAAAACCACAAGCCATTTGTCCAAAGGTGACCTATAAGTCACATTTCCTTCCTCCTCTGTCCCAGGTGGCTATGCCAGACTGACAGAGGTGTAACCCTGGAAGAAATGTGAGCTCACCACCACAGCCTGGCACACTCACCAGTGGGCACACAGCTGGATAACATGCCATCAATAGGTCATCAAAGTGAGAAAGTGAGTTTCTGTGTGGAAAAGAACATGTGTGTATTTGCAGAACACACATGTGCTTGCCCCGTGCCAACACAACAGACACAAGCTCCAGTTAGGTGCAGGATATGTCTACGAAGATCTCACAGACCAGGGGGAAATGCAGCACCTTGCAAGCCAGCAGGAGAAATAGGGAGTGATACAGAGTGCTAGAGGCATTCCCTGGGAGGATTAGCACAGCCCAGCAGGCAGGGAGGGGGTGATTTTTAGGATGGCTTTCTGCAGGAGAGGTCTGGGCTGAATTCCAGGAATGAAGAAGGACTAGGAGCTGGTGTCGGCCTGAGAAGCAGACAGCAGACGGGGTGGGGATGGCATTCTAGGCAGGGGACAGGGTGTGCACAAAAGAAAGCAAGGCTCCTTTGCTTATCAGTGATTGTTGGGGATGGAGCAAGAGCAGAGTTTCAGGGGTGGGAGGTGAGGTATGAGGTTGGCAGGTCGGTAACAGCATCACGAGCATCCCGGAGAAAGGGGTGCGCTGGCTACGGAAAGGGGGAAATGGACATACTGCAGAATGGAGAACAGATAGGGATAGCCTGGCCTCCTGTGAGGAGGCAAGGAAGCTGCAGGCAACCCAGGAGGGAGATAAGGGTTAGTGCAGCTGGGGCTGGGATCCAGGGCTCTAGAGAGGAATGTGGGGCAGGCCCTGTGAGCCTCCTGAGAGGCTCTGGTGAGGGGACTCTAGAGCCTGGGTCCTAGGTTAGGAACATGGGCACATGGTCTCTCCTCCCTGGAGCTCAGGCCTGAGTCCATCTCTCCCACACTGTGTCAACTACTCTCCATGGGATCCTCTGTGCATCCACAATGGCAAAGAAAAGAGCACAGATTTCCCTTCTCAGGTTCCCTCTTCAGTCACGTGGCCAGGCTTAGTGCAAGTACCTTCACCCACTCAGCTGTCTGCAAGTGCGGCGTGGCAGGCAGGAATTTGAGAGAGCCTCCAGCTCTCGCGAAGCTGAGAGAGCATTCAAGGCGAGGAGGAGGACAGACATTATGGGCTGTCTCCAGATGATGTTCCAGGGAGAAACTACATCACATGGACCATGGACAGACACAGACTCCCCCTCCCACTGGAGGGTCAGGGCCATCTCCCGGGACACTTTACACTTTAAAGTGACACTTTGCTTATGAGATTTATTTGTAGAATTAGAGAATTCTACCTTTTAATCTTTAAATTTTATTTGCTTTGTTGAGATCAACATAGGTGTTCTGTAAGGAAGATGGAGGATATAAAAGCTTACCAAGGGGCTTGAGGAGGATGCGGCTGAGTTGGTAAAGGGCTGGTCTGTAGGTATGAGAACATGGGTTAGATTCCCAGCACCCACATAAAATGCTGGGTGCGGTGATTTGTGCCTGTAATCTCACTGGGGAGGTGGAGACAGGTGGATTCCTGGGGCTCCCTGGGGAGCCGACATAGTCCCATCAGTGAACCCCCAGGACCCAGTGTGTGAGACGGTATCCCACAAAACAAGGTGCATGGCTTCTGAGCAATGACATCTTCTGGTACTGACCTCTTCCCTCCGCATTAATATTGCACACGGCTCACCCCCACCCCACTCCACCCCACCCCCACACTTACAAGAACACAAAAGTCAACTCTGCTGCATCAGGGAGATAACATCTCTTAAACACGGGGTGGGGGGAAACAGCACCCCACTTCACACGTCTTTCTTATTTTAAATGCTTATTTTTATTTTATTACTCTGTGTGTGTGTGTGTGTGTGTGTGTGTGTGTGTGTGTGTCCAGAGAAGGATGTCAGATCCCCTGGAGCTGGAGTTACAGGCAGTTGGGAGTCACTCGAAGTGGGTGCTGAGAACCGAACTCAGGCCCTCTGCAAGAGCAGCATCCATTCTAAACCACTGAGCCACATCTCCAGCCCTCACTTCACAGGTTCTTCTCTCCAGCACCGTCCAAGTTCTATACAAATTATACTTATTTAAAGTGTATGTGAAACAGGAGGAGGCTTTGGCGTGGTGACAAAGGCTTGGAGTGGCTTCTGAGCAAGGCGCTGGGCCTCATGCTTCCGTCTGTGGTGTAGGAACGAGCACACATTCCTCACAGTCTCACCACCAGGGTTGCTGAACCCTGCAAAGCCCCAGTACACAGGCCAGCACCTCCCACCTCCCGTGCCCCCGTCGCCACCACCAGTGTCACAGCTCAGACAGAATGCAGCCCTGAACCACACACCGCTTACCTGTTGGTGGGACTGGCCTGTTGGTGGTGGCTGGACACACACATTGAAAACAGATCCTTTCCCATTTGTCCCATCTGCCTTCCTGTCAGTTCCAGGAATTGACCTGACAAATATTAACCAGGTGACTGTGGTCTTGAAACACTATTGCCCTATGGGCAGAAGGCCTTGTGGGTCTGTGGAGCTGCGCCCACCTCGGTAACTTCTCTGTGAGTATATACTGTACCCCAAATGAGGGAAGGCCTCTGTCGGTCTGTCTGTCTGTCTGTCTGTCTGTCTACCTCATTTTTGGCCTTGGTGGCAGAAACGGGCAGTGAGCTCCCTGGATGGCCCTGCTGACTACTGCCTCTGAATTTGGCAGCTAGAGCTTCCAGTCTTCTGTCACCTCTGAGAAAGTCAGCCACTGGGAGTCATGACATACGAACTCCCAGGACTGCTAGCAAGCCAATAAGGAAACAGAGCTCGAAGCAAAATGGCAACACTACTAAAAACTCAGTTATGGCCACAGGTCCATGCCCAGAAGTCTAGGACTGGAATAGAGCCTTGCCCAGTGGAAGCCTCAGTTTCCCCATATGCACAACTGAGTTAAGAGTCTCTGTGACTGGAGGGTCTCAGGGGCACTCATTTAAACAAGAGAGAGCAAAGTGCCACTGTATTTGAGCTGGACCAGGGTTCCCGGCATTTCCACAGCTTTCAGGTGTTTGCGTCTCAGCTGGGAAGCATCTTCTGGCCAGTGATCAGACCTGGAATGCCACGCCCACTCACACCCTCCCACACATATGTAAATACCTCTGTCTGCAGACCCGTGATGCAATGTGCCCAATGTACCCAGCACTTCAACAAACATTTCAAAACCAGAAGGTTTATAATTCAAGGATAGGACTCTGAATTTTCTCCCAGAATCTGCCAGGGAATGGAGCTAAGTTAACTGGATTCCCATTGCCCCCAGCCAGGGTAGAAGTGGGAGACAACCTCCTGCAGTGTCTTAGGCGCAGGCACTTTAAATTATGAAAGGAGGTGGCATTGCCATCTGAATTCTGCATAGAACTGCGGAGACAGTATCCCACAGTGAGTAACTGCGAAGCCCTAGAGCAAGCCCAGGCTATGGCAGCGCTGGCTACATCAGTCCTAGGGAAACACGTGCACCTTGGGGTGCAGCTGGGTAGGGAAGGGTGCTGAGTTCAGTGGCTACGATTGGCTCCCTCACAGTTTCCACCCTTACTTTACCAGGGCAGATCAATTATCCAATTGTTTTACATCTTCCGGTTTTTCTATCTAAGGAAAGTCCCAACACACAGAACTTCCCTTAATCTGCTTCCAGGGAGCTGGTGCTGGTGGGAGGAGCCGACCTTCGGATCCAGACACCATACTCTAGCTACCAAATGTGTTTCCGCATTGCCCTCACCTTCTGAGAGCAGGTGGCTCTTGTAATTTGGTGGGCATTCTGAGTGCCAGGGGCAGTGCTCCATCCATCTGCGATCTCTCCATAGTCACTCCAACAGTTAATACTGAGAGCTAAAGGCCCCCACATGGCAAAATGTACAGAATGTGTTGATCACAATGTAGATGCTTTCAGGACCAACCAGCGTCAAGGATCAGCTTGTAGCTACTGGATGTGAAATCAGAAAGTGGAAGGGCTTGTTTGGGGGAACCCAGGAGGATATCAGGGTCCAGAAGTGGATACAAAGTGGGGTGAGCCTAGCTCTGTCTACACAGCAGGATCCTCCCCTGCACTCAAGCCAAGGGTCTTCCAGCTCCTGCATCTCTTTGAACCCTGTGGAGGTGACCAAAGTCCTTCTAGGGCGTCTCATAACTTAAACTAGGGTAGAAGATGGTTGGCATTTGCCTGAAGGGGCTGCCTCAGCACACGGGAGGAGGGGTTTAAACAGACATTTTTGCCTTGCACCTCTGGAAACTGGTTCAGGATCACAATCAAGGCAATGGCTGTGCCCCTCTGAAGCTGTACTGGAGAACCCATTCCAGGCCCCTCCCTGTGACTGTCCACATTTTCTGGTTTACAGCAGTGTTTCATCTCTGTCTTTACCTTTCCTAATACCCTCTTTGAGTGCTTCTCAGAACCCAAAGTCGCCCTCTTTCCAGGACACTAGTCATAAGGGATTAGAGACCCACTTTAATGGACACATCCTGTTTAATTATGACTATAAGGGTTTCATTTCTTTTTCTTTCTTTGTTCCTTTTTCACTCTTTTATTTTCCAAGACAGGGTTTCTCTGTGTAGCCCTGGATGTTCTGAAATTCACTTTGTAGATCAGGCTGACCTCAAACTCACAGAGATCCGCCTGTCTCTGCCACCCAAGAGGGATTAAAGGCGTGCGCCCCCATCATCCAGTCAAGGACTCCATTTCTAAGTAAAGCAGCATTGCCAGGTCTTAGGGGTTGGAAACTTGGCATATGAATTTTGGGCAGGCACAACTCAGTCTGTAACAGATCTTTCCAAAACTCCTGCATCCACGCACAAGGGACGTTTCTGTGGCTGCAGATAGTGTAGATGGTACCCTATAGGCAGAGACTGCTCGTTCATTCCCGGCTACCCAGATCCTAATAATCACACAGAAACTATAATTAATTGCAACACTGTTTGGCCTATTAGCTCTGGGTTCTTATTAACTAACTCTTACATCTTAAATTAACCCATTTCTATTATTCTGTATATTGCCACGAGGCTGTGGTCTACCAGGTAAGATTCTAGCATCTGTCTTCTTTGGCAGCTACATGGCGTCTCCCTGACTCCACGCACTCTCTCTCTCTCTCTCTCTCTATATATATATATATATATATATAGAGAGAGAGAGAGAGAATATATATATATATATATATATATATATATATATGTTTGTATTTCCCGCCTGGCTTTTCTCTGCTAAGTCATTGATCAAAACAGCCTCATCCATTGGATAACAAAAGTAACACACATCCAGAAGGACACCCCACATCAATGCCCCTGCATCCATGCACAAGGGCGTTTCTGTGACTATACACAGTGTTGAGGGCACCCCTGTATCCATGCACGTGGGTGTTTCTGTGGCTGCACACATCATAGATGACTCCCCTGCATCGATGCACATGGGTGTTTCTGTGTAGATGCTACTGCTGCAACCATGCACACAGGTGTTTCCATCCCTGCACACAGTGTAGATGAGACCCCTCCATTCTTGCACACAGGTGTTTCTGTGGCTGCACACATCATAGATGGTTCCCCTGCACACAGGTGTTTCCATCCCTGCACACAGGTGTAGATGAGACCCCTCCATCCTTGCACACAGGTGTTTCTGTGGCTGCACACAGCGTAGATGGTTCCCCCGCGTTCATGCACACAGGTTTTTCCAACCCTGCACACAGTGTAGATAGTTTCTAGGTAGCAGGGGTGTGGAGATGTAGAGAGAGAGCACATCTCTCTTTCAGCTCTTCTCCCGGGAACCATGGGTCCTGTTACTTTATCCTGCTTCAGAGGCTACCCTCATCTCTGTGGACTTGACAGTTGATCCAAGCTAATGTAAGGTGTCAAGGGTAGAGGGCCTCTCTCCTCATCTTCTAAAGGAGATGTTGTACTGCACCCTCTTCCTTGCAACTGACTGCACTATCCCAGAGCCACCCTCAAGGGGCATAGCATCATTTGTGTTCATACAGAACATTCTCTCCATAGCATCCTCTTAGTTTCTAATGAGTGTTACATAAGCACCTGCCTAGCCCAACACTAGACATTGCCTCAAATATGCCCTAAATCAGTGGTTCTCAACCTGTGAGTCATGATATCTATATTATCAGTAATTACAGTAGCAAAATTACAGTTATGAATTAGCAACAAAATAATTTTATGGTTTGGGGTCACCATATCTTATGGAACTGTTATTAAAGGGTTGCAGCATTGGGGAGGTTGAGAATCACTCCTCTGAATTCTGTGGCTTCTGGGACTGTGTTAATGTCTTTTCTCCATAATATACTCAGTGCCTAGCACACCTGTACAAACAATGGAGCCTTGGACATTCTGTATGATTAAAAAAAAAACACAACTAAGTGCAGAAGAATCCAGAGAAAATAAAAATAAAATGGAAGGAGAGAAGGAAGAAAAGAAGGAAGGAAGGAGAGAAGCAAGGGAAGAAGAGGATAAAGACGTAAAGATAAGAAGAGAATCAAAAGGAGAAAGAAGAGGGAGGGAGTGAATGAAGAAGGAAGAGAGGCAGGAAAGGAGGGAGGGAGGGAGGTGGGAGGAAGGCTGGACTGCAGGATCTATTTTCCAGCTGGAGTCCCAGTTGTCCCCCTTTCCCCTCTTTGCAGCACAGTGAGGGAATAGTCAGGGGTGGTGGTGTCACTGTAAGCTCTGGGGATGATGCTGCCATCTGCCAAGAAAACTAATGTGTTCCCATCTTCTTTTCAGATCATGGGGCCAATGTGGCTGTGGCTGCTGGTAGTCGAGGTCCTGCTCCCTGTTCATTGTCAGCCATTTTCTCCCCATGGAGAGAAGAGTCTGGGGGTGCCTCAACCGGCCAGCCACCAGCTCCTGGAGCCAGCACCCGCCTATCGCAAGGTCACACCCACCATCACTAATTTTGCTTTGCGTCTCTACAAGCAGCTAGCAGAGGAGGTACCCGGAAACATCCTCTTCTCCCCCGTGAGCCTCTCTAGCATCCTGGCTCTTCTCTCTCTTGGGGCACCTGCTGACACCCAAATTCAGATCCTGGAGAGCCTGGGCTTCAACCTCACGGAGACCCCAGCAGCTGATGTCCACCAGGGCTTCCAGAGCCTCCTGCATACACTTGACCTGCCCAGCCCCAAACTGGAACTGAAAGTGGGGCATTCCCTGTTCTTGGACAGGCAACTGAAGCCTCAACAGCGCTTCCTGGATGGCGCCAAGGAGCTGTATGGAGCGCTGGCTTTTTCCGCCAACTTCACAGATGCAGCTGCCACAGGGCAGCTGATCAACGACCTGGTGAGGAAGCAGACCTATGGGCAGGTGGTGGACTCGCTCCCGGAGTTTGGCCCTGACACCGTCATGGTTCTCTTGAACTACATCTTCTTCAAAGGTGAGTGAGACTTCTCTGACAGAACTATTGCTCTCTCTCTC